GACGATTTGTAGTCGCATTCAAAACTGTGATTGGCTTGTGTTATTTCTCACCTTTGCCATTAACACAACTCAAGTGAGTTTCGAGTCTTTGTTTCCTCGACAACTTTCGGCCACAAATCGTGCATTTGTAATACGATCGATTCTTGTCGATTATTTCTACATAGAGTGAGCTCACATCTTTATTTATATCACCAAGCTATCCATCTTCTAGAAGCAGAGAACCGGTCGGAGAAGTCAAAATAAAGTTCGGCGCTTCTCTTAACACTGCAATCGGCAAGCCAGCGGATTCACTTTGCTAGCCAATGACAAGTCCTAAAAGATCCACGTGATCATGCCCGTGATCGGAAACAAAGAAGACTCCATTTGGCGCTCATCTTTGAATGTACTTTTCATCGGTTGATCGCTTTTCTCAACTGTTTTGCTTAATATAACATTTCTAAAGATAGCTTTTATTGTGGTTCAATGGGAAAACGAGAATAGCGTGAGTGTTGTAAAAGAGAAGAAAGTCGTTGGCGCCGTGGAGTTAAAAGTAGGGACAACAGTTGACATATGGACCGGTACAAACAAGGGTCGAGTGGCCATCTGTAAAGCTACGATTTTGAAAGTTTGTGGTGAGTAAAAATTGCGATATTCGTTGTGATCAAAATCTTATAAAAGAATAGATGTAGCGGGTTGAATTAAGCTTACATAACGCTCGGCGCAACTGAAACTAGAATAATTATGAGAATCGAATCGGTCACTTGCATGCCGCAGTTTCTTAAGCTTATGCTTTACAATGAAAGAAACCTATCAGTAAGGTTTCAAGATTCCTCTAGTCACGTTTGGGAACATTCAAGATTCATAACAAACTTTAGTACATAAAGAAGCCCTCCTTGGTAAAAACAAAATAATGTATTCAGCCCTTTTTTAGTAAAATCCATGAGAGAGATGTACTAACTCCAATATAAAAGTCACTCAATATAACACAGATTTCTCAATTTGAGAATCCAATGAATGCCCTTTTCCTCATAGCCATCTTAAAAGCCTGGTCTGAGCTTTAAACATACATATTTTAATATATTTTTTTTTTTCAAATTCAGATGTCAAGGAATCCAGATACAAAATGGTCAAGGTTCTTGTTGATAACCTCATTCAAGGCCAACTCATTGTGAGTCCAGGAAAAAAAATACAAACAGTACAAACAGCAGCTAAGTTTGCAGTTTAGGATAACTTCATTCTAATTTATTGTTGCAGTTATAAAAAGATTTTAATCAAAAAATCAATTTTATTTGTCTGTAATTAGCCCCTTCACTCCCAAGAATATAACTATATAAATATAACTTAGGATATTGTATTTTTTGGAAAAGAATCAACAGATTTTATTCACAATTTGTGTCAAACCAAATTTAATGATTGATTAGAACTATTTTATACGAATAGCTATAATTGAGGATTAATCCGTATGAAGTTTTCAAGAAAAGAAAAATAAATCAAATTCCATCCTAATATTACCACACATTGATGTTAATAATTAATCAAAAATATTTTACATGTATGCCTTAATCAAGCTTTTAAATAAATTTCATTGAATACTTGAATTTTAGCTGGGTTTTTTTAATTTAAAGTATTTATTTTAAATCATTAGCCTCAAATTTTTGCTTAAAATTCCCAGTAATTCTTAAACATTCCTAAAAATTCCCAAAAATTCCCAGAAATTCTCAGAAATTCCCAGAAATTCCTAGGAATTTTTTAGATTTACAGCTTTTCAGGGAAAGTCATTGGTTCTCTGTCACACGACAAACCAACCCATGAAAAAAAGACTCTGTGAATTTGGGGGTTCAGTTGGAATTCCTAGGAATTCCTAGGAATTCTAGGAATTCCAAGTCCTGTTGGCTATAAACTTGGAATTTCTGGGAATTTCTGGGAATTTCTGGGAATTTCTGGGAATTTCTAGGAATTTCTAGGTTTTTAGAACCAGAGTTGTTATGGTTGGGAATTCCTAGGAATTCCTAGGAATTCCCAGTCCGAATTTACCGTGAAAATTCACACCTTTATTCCTAGGAATTCCTAGGAATAAATTCCTAGGAATTCCTAGGATTTTCCTAGGAATTCCTAGGAATTCCAAAAGCCATTTCGCAAGGGAAATGTTCTAAAGGATGCCTTTCCATGTCAGTTCCCTTAAAAAAAATTTATCTCTGAGGGCTCCTAATAATGACCCAGCAAAGGTGTTGCTAATAATGAAATGAGACTTTGCAAAGCTTAAGTTTGATAAAACACCAAAAAAATTACTCTCAACAAAATTATTAGCCAGTCAAGCATCAAGGAAACACCCTATGACCCAAAAGGAACAAATTTTTAAATTTGCTAACTTATCACCACACATATTATTGTATTTTTTCTTAGTTGTTTCTTTCTTTAGCATATCTGTAATACAATAGGCAAACATTTCCCATAGAGCCATTAAGTCTTACTGTTCATGGATCATGCTACAATAAATGTCAACATTTTTGCAATTTTTGCAAGTGTGTGTTTGAGCATTTTAACAGAGCACACAATATCCCTGTGTAGATATTAAAAAAAAATTGTAAGTTATGTGCTTTCTAACAGCATTACCAATTTCACCACCATCCATGTCACAGTCCTCTGGCTATGGTTCCCTTAAGTTGACAGTGAGGTTATGCAAAATGCACTGAGCAAGCTACAATTATAGAGCCATCCTCCCCTCTGAGTGTAGCACATGGAACCTCCTTGTCAATCCAAAAGTTTACCCTGTAGTACATCTTGTGATCTTGTGTGCTCTGTTGAAATGCTCCTCCTGAGGTGTTTTGGGGTTGAGGTACAGGGTCATGAGGAATGGAGAGCATGCATAGCCACCATTCCCATGTAACACACCATCTGTGAGACCAGTCCCTTCAAGGTTACTTCCTACGGCTGACATACGGCAAATGTGGCTATCATGAGTTGAACCAGGCCATCTAGCCACAACATTTGTAAACAATCCTGCAAATTCAATTGTATTTGATAAAATGTTTTTTATGTCCAACACAACATTTTCATACAGCTTAGCTACATAGTATTTCTGCATATGTCTTCCTTGTTCAAAACTGTATTCCCATAAAATTGTCACAATGTAAACATACACATAGGCCCTAAATTTGGAGTAGTTATTGTGGGATCACTTCATTCATTTTGTCAAAATAGAGTTTTCAGAACAGGACTACTGCTAACAGTGAAATATGGTTTGTAACTAACAACAATTAGCTACATTTATCCCTTTTCTTGATATGGTAAATTTCAAGACATTCCTTGGCCTGCATCTTTGAGCAAATATGACAAATTACATGTTACTAAGCAATTCTACCTAGCGAGAGAATGCTCTGTAATGCTTTACTTCAGCACTCAAACCAACACATTCCACTGCAAAATATCCATGTTGGAGAACACATCCAGTGATCGCCAAAGAACATTTCATTGCTGTCATGACATAGTGTTCACAGTAAAGCTTGGAGTTAAACAGACATGTTGCCCTATGCTAAACCAATAATCAGAGGTAGAGATATTAGCTTACCTCAAAAGTTACATATTGTCTGGACATCAATGGAGTGAAATCCTTTCTAGTTTACGAAGTCTGGTTCATTTTCCTGAGGGGCAGTTATTCTAATGTGGGTATCATCGATGCACCCAATGGCAGAAGGAGAACCACCAACTTGAAACAAACCTTGCTTAATCTCCTCTTGTTCAGCGTGAGTAGACAGAAATCTTATGAAATCACCTAACTTTGCAGTCAAGACTTGTGTCACATGACAAACTACAGTAAAAACCCATGAAAAAGAATCTGTGTTTTGGGGGTTCAGGCTGATTTTGTTTTCACATATTGGGTGTTTTCTGCAAGATCAGCCTGAAAATGTCCTTACAGTGTTCTTCAATTAGTTTCTTAAAATTAAATACTGCATCAACCACCAACAGATGAAATCAATGTGCAAGCACAACATTTTAACATTGGACCTAACCTTAACTGCATTAATCTAGGCAATAATATTACATTGTGGGAGGGATAGCAGATCGGGTGATAAACAACTCAAAACTCAGAAAAAGTCAAGCAAATTCAAATGCACCAGCTCACCCTCCCTCTTTTCAATGCTCTTCCCCAGTACTGTACCCAAGTGGGTTATTCTAATCCTACTGGCAGCCAAATTTTTTTTATATATCAGAACACTTCATATTTCAGGCTGGATGTAAATGGCACTTTCAGCCTGAGTGTTTTAATCCATTTGTTCTTTTATGTGGGTTTTTACTGTATTCGGCTGACGGTTGACTTATCAAATCCCAGAAAAGTATCTTCGATCACCAGCAAAAACGAACCCGAAACCAAGAATCTGAGGGTAACGAGGACTTGCATTACCGCTGAGACAGCATGGTTCCTAATTGTTTGTGGTGTTATTTCATCTGCAACTAGGTTACCGATGTATTGTATTGATTCTCGTCCAAAACGATGCGTGGATCTCAATTCAGAGTTAGTGTAAGACTATAAAGGATCGAGCTGGCGGCGAAAAATTCTTGTCTTTCTACGACGTTGATTGCTAGGGAGTTACACCGCAGAAGATGTAACTGTCGAGCGGCCATTTTGTTTTGTTTTTTTTTTATTTATTATTATTATCCGGTGGATAAAAATTTATACTACCTACCAAACCATGGATAAATTTATCCGCTGGATAGCGAATGGATAGCGTTATCCATTCTTTAAACCACCGATAGTACGTGTTTATCCGCTTGTAGTGTTATCCAGCGGATAAGTAGTTATCCATCCTTTGAACAACCGTGGCCGGATCCTAAAAATGCGACTAAAGCGGATACGTTCCTCGGAAAAACAATTTTACCATCTTCTAAGTTTTTGAACATCGAGTCAAGGGCTTTCTCAAACGAGCTCAATTTCTTCTCAATGTCCATACAGCTTTGTGTGAAAAAATTAAGGTATGAGGTTTACAACTATAGATCAGTCAAGCTTAAGCGGATATACTTACCTAACACAGCTTACAGAGCTTGTGACGTTCTTTACACCTTCATTCAACGATACAGCCTTTCAACAATAAAGCCTTTCAACGACAAAGCTTTAAGGTGCAAAATGATACGAATATTTCACACCTAAATAAAAAGATTGTCGGATGAGGTTGAGCGCGATATCGTGATGTGTGCTCTCGACCAATCACAGTTTATAATCTAATGTATGCATGATATTGAAGTTGTCCTCCAGGTGCATGTCAATTAAACGAGCGATTCCTTTGAGGCCTGGAGTTAATGCATTTCTTTTTTTATTCCAAGCTTTCGCCGATCTACGGCATCGTCAGGGTATGTTAAGAAGACATTCCACTATGCACAAAATAAAAGCGATGAAGGTGATATGAATAATTGGAATACATAATAGGGAAATGAGTTTCCAAATGTGGCGATTATCACGATATATGAAATTTGCGTCACATGTCACGTTATCTGTTCCTATATTTAGTCAGTATAAAGCAGTTTCTACTCACTAGTATATGACACGAATTTTTGTATATTGTTTGTAGGTAACTAGATATGTAAGATAAACGGTATGAGAGTTAAAAATCGTTAAAAATTCTCTTAACCCTTAAACCCCTGAGAGTGACAAGCATATAATTTCTCCTTATAATATCATCCCTAAATCACACATTAAGGTCATAAGAATAAAGGAAATGATCACTAACGAAAGAAGCGTTTGATTGGTAAACGAATTCTCCTTGTCAGCACTTTAGGAAATGGATAAAGAGCAGTATGGAGAAAAGTAAAAATAATATGCATACTGATTTTAGCATTTTTTTCCGTTGATAACCAGTAGGGAGAGGCAGAGTCATGTCCGCATTGAGCATTATTTCGAACATATTATACCACTCTGCAGTGTTTCAGATATTCGAAGTCATTTCCGGATGTCAAGAGCTACAGTGAGCTGGTTGGAGCGCCTGTTAGCTACTTGCCTTGGTCTGCCTCATGGACGAAGAAATGGGGGGAGACGAACCATTGACTAACAAAAGCAAGTATTAATAACGATTTGGATACTTGGGAACCCTGAATGCTTGCGATCAGTGGCCGATCGATTTGACATAACAAAGTCGAGTGTATTTCGCAATTATCGCAGAATTTGTGCAGCGATTGCCGATAATCTTTCTGGTAGGTTAATCAAGTTTCCTTCAGGGCAACGAGCAATTGATGTAGAACAAGGATTTGAAGAAAAACCGGCATTTCCTGGTGTTTTGAGTGCCATCGATGGATGCCACATTCCAGTCAAAGCACCATTGAAAACCATGAACAGTACGTCAATTGTAAAGAGTTTCACTCGCTGTAGTTAAAAGTAATCTGCGATATGGACATGCAGTTCACTGATGTATTTTGTGGTTATCCTGGTTCTGTCCATGATACGAGGGTTTTTAGAAATTTGCTCTTTTTCCAGGAAGTTGAAGCAAACCCAGACATGTTGTTTAAAACCAGGCCCCGTCTCCTGCAGGGTTGGGGTAGGAGACGTTAATTTCCCCCACCTGTGTGGTGGATCGACACTAATTGTAGCGCCTTTGATCATCTGCTATATAAGTAAATAAATTATTAAATTATAAATTATTATTAAAATTATTAAATTATTAAATTATTAAAATTATGTTGTTTTACCTGATCCTTTAAAGACCTTGGTACTTACCTCATATCCAGGCAATGACCGACTCACTAGAAGACAGAAAAGATATAACTTTGTTCACAGCTCAACTAAAATGGTAATGGAAAGCCCTTGGTCTCTTAAACGGTAGGTTTAGGAGGCTTAAGACACAAATGGCAGTTGACAAAATTGAGGATGCCCAGTGATGATTGTGGCTGCCTGTGTATTGCATAACATTTGCTTAATAAATGATGAGGATGACATTGAAGACCTAATGGATAATAACAGTAATGATGATGATCATGATAATGACAATTACAACAATGGAGATGCTGAAGATAAGAGGAATCAAGTCATGAGAAATTTACCTTGATTACACATGCACTTGTGTGGTGCTAAATGCTCTTGACATTACAACTTACCCTTAAATGGCAGTGTATGAAAACTGCAGACTGGAGACTGGCTTTAAATAGTAAATGTGTTACCATTACCATTATTGAGAGCTAACTGCAAGCAGGCTAACCTAAGTAATGTTATCCAGAGTTAGAGTTAGGCTGACCAGAATAAAGTCTGGAGGAGAGCATTTGTTGCACACCCATCAACTGGTTCTGTGATGAAAAAAAAAGAAAAAAAAACATAAAAAGCCTACAGTGTCTGAAAAAAAAAACAGTAAAAGAAGTAGGAGGGAAAGGAAAGTGTCTATTTCAAGAACTGTTAACAGCATTTGGAAAATGCAGTGGCAAATTAAGTTTTCAGGAAAGGGATGGACAATAGGGGTACTGATGCATGTCTTTCTCCCCTACCCACCTAAGAATTGCAGGCACTAAAATAAAATATACCAGGAACTCGATGGTTTTTTGTCCAGAGTTGATGTTTGTAGTTTGTAGTCTTCACTTGTATTTCTATAAAGTGTATGCCAAACAAAGTGATGAGCTGACAAAATCTTGAAGTTTGCTTGCAGATAACAAGGTTTACCTCCCAGAAGTTTTTAATTTGGTTTCTTAAGGAGAAAATATCTTAAAACAACAAAATACATGTAACACTCAAACTTGTTTCTAAGGAAAATGAATATTGTAAAAAGTTCTTTGTTAGCAATATCATTAAAGAATTTTCAAATTACTTATCACCATGCAGTATTTTTCCCCATAACCAAACTTAGGTGAAGAGAGACTGGGGTTAAGCTTCACATTTCAAAATGGGAATTCCGCTGTATGAATTTCAGTATATTACCATTATGTAACAGCTTCTTGTCACATGCATTTATTTCAACTCACTTTTTGTCTTAGTAATCATCTTAAAGCAGTCATACCTTTCTGGAAAGGTCTTCCTCCACTTTAAATATGTGTAAGCCTTCCAAAACTCATATTTTAAGCTTTTTGACCCAAAAATGGTCTAAGCATGCACATATTTACTGAAACATCCAACAGACAGAAGAGCAAACTCTTTAACCTAAGTGTTTTATTATCATTACTAATTACTCTCTTATTATTGTAATAATCCTAATGTTTTGTGACACCAGTACTTTTTCACTCCTAACGTTTCAGTAGACATGCACTTCATGTGAAACTAACCAGCATCACTATTTCTATGACTGCAATGGGTACACAATACCTTTACTTGTTTTATTAGTACTTTAGAACACAAGTAACATCTTGACAACACAATATAACCATACATGTTTTGGTTCTACATGTACATATACATGAAAAAATGCCATGTACAAACATGCTTGAAAGCCTTGCAGTGAATACTTCAGATAGTGAGGTAATGCAATGTGATGTGAATGCAACAGTACAAAACACAACTGCTAGAGTACTGGTATGTTGTGGAATCAGTGTAAGAGCCTTTTCCATGTAATGAGAGCTGCTTACATGAAAACCACAGAACAAAAATATTCCCTTATCTTGGACAGATTTTTCAAACACTTTAAGAAATTGCCCAAAGAAAGTCATTTTATCATTGTGCATTTCTTGCAATTTCTGCAGTTTCTTTTCCTCCTTTTCTTCTTTCCTTTCAATAAACTCTTTAAACAGAGAGACCAATTCACTTCTTTCACTTGGAGGTTTTGTTCTAGGTTTTTGTATTACCTGTTCATCACATTCCGCACTTTCTATACCCTCTGAATTGTCTAATTGACCTTCATTTTCAGTTGAGCCCTCTTGGTGTTGAGCTTAAGGATGTTTAACCAGACCCTTCCTACTGCTGTACACAGCTGATGGTGTTATATCGTCATCACCATGAAAAATGTTGTGAAGTTCTTCATAGTAAGCACATTTCTTTGCATTTCTTCCTGTTTTCTTGTTGTGATCAATGTATGCAATATATGATCTTTTGAGATTCTTGAACTTGGTCTCCCAAGACTTTGCACCACAAGAGATATGTCCCTGTTCCCACATTTCAAGGCAAATAACAGACCAAATGTCTTTGTTCCTTACTCTTGGATTCTTGGATCATCTTTTTTCTTTAAGATATGTTTCAATCAAGATCACTTCCTCTTTCAGCCACATTTTCTTTTCTTTTCCACATTGAGTTCTGTCATTACCATTGCTACTTGTTGAAGGCTCAGATGGAGAGCTAGACCTGGAATGATCTGATTGGCTCTGGTAGGATGAAGCACTGTGATAACCTACCTCACCAGTTTGGTGTTGGAAGGGTAGACCAAAAGAACTGTAATTAGAGGTACTTGCATGTCCTTAAGTAGGCCCTCAGCTGCCTATAAACAAGGGTACCACTTTGTCCATGTAGAGAGACGTTATTAATCCATAGCTCCATTTTACACCTGTATCTTCTAGGTATGAGAGAACACGTAAAACATCAATGTATAATGCAGTGCTTTGTTGTATAACACCTATATTGAAACGAGTTTGAATTTAAAGATAACTACCTCTACATATGGTCTAACAGATAGAACTTCCAGACATTTTGCTCATTACTTGCATTTCTACTTGCCCTTGAAGGGCTCAAGAAAATAAAATAATTACACGCATTATCAGTAAACCAAAGAATAGGGAACAATCACCAATAAACAACAAGTGGTAATAACAATATGAACCTTATGGTACCTTGTCGCATTTCTACCATCATAAGCTTTCACCAGGCAAGAACAAACCTACACTAGTATTAAAGTCAGGACATATATATCTGCTAGCAATAAATTATTATATACGAAAAATGCCCAAAAGGAACACAAAAAAACATGTTGTATTTACAGCAGAGTCCTGCCCAAATTCTCCAGGAAATTAAAACATTTTGGTTACTGATATCGATATATAATATTTATAGAAAACAGACTCCTACGAAAATTGACAAAGGCAACGTAAATGTACAGTAAACAGCAAAATAACCAACAAATAAATAACCCCCAAATATTATTCTGAAGTTCGTTTTCAAAAGAGTAACTGTATGAGTTCCATCATTCACGAATGTTTAGGGAAGTAAATATGGTAATTTCAAGGTAAATCCGAAAATTTTTGCACCAGCCATTCAAATATGTGTACTTAAGTACTATTTCGTAAATTTTTTG